GCCTTTGGCTGGATGCATGGAACCATACTTTTATATTTAGGCTATAAAACTTCTTTGTAACTGTGCAAAGGCAGACTTATCTTCATCGCACGACGTGTAGCGTGTTTGCAGTCAAACAGCTGTGAGCCACACACAGCTAAGTAACTAGCAACTATTTTGTGGCACATAAATGAAGACAAAGCAATAGTGCTCCTCAAACCTTGCATACCCTTCTTCCGCACCAAATCCTGCTGTTTTCCTGTATTCGCACAACACTGCTCCTGCAAGTAGGCATCACACAATGACAGAGTGCATGACACTCAGCCAATAGATCACTAAGCAGACCCATAGTAAATGTGTTGCGTCTACTACCTTAACCACCTCCTGCATGTCATGTAATATCTCAACGTCTGAGTGTCCCATTATTCAAAAGCCTGAATGCTGGAACAGAGGAAAGAATGATCTGGCAGGGATGCGGTTAAATCAAATTACCAAAAATGGATGTGCAGACACTGCAATCTCCCAAATATTGGCCATGTGATTTAATAAAGCAAAGCCAAGTCAATGAACATTTGTGGAGGTTTAAGTAGTGATTAATGGGTGTCAGGCAACAGCCTAATGAGAAAGTTTTAAGATGGACAAATTGGTCGCATCAACAAAACAAGTAAGCATTCAAGCGGATAAATGAAGAGCAGATAATAAGAATGCTAAAATAAAGTGAAAAACTCTCTATACCTGTGTTTGTTATGAGACATATTTGAATGAAATGTATTTGCTTTTTGTCGATTCCACTTTGGAGCAGAGATCTGAGGAAGACACATGCAAAATGCACCTCCACATCTCTGCGATCGACGACGACTGTTCTGCTATGAAAATCATGCTCACTGAACGTTTCTCCCCTAGAAAGTTCATTTAGGCAAACCCATATTCCATCGACCGCCCAATTTTTGGCCACAGTTTAAGGGTGGTCTCCTCATTTGCCATCAATGGTAAAATTTGCTCCTCTATTAGTCTATTAAGTTTATCTTCGTATCCCTCAGACGTTGTATTTTTGTAAGGTGGTGAATGGTAGTTAGTTCGGTACAAAGTTATGCACTGCAGGCGAAATATTTTGTTGGTGAGGTGATTTGCATCAGTCAAAATGCATCAATACTTTACGAATGATTGGACTTTTAACGTGCAGGGGTGGTGAGATCGGTTTATATAGTTGTGTTAGGTCTTCTCTGTAGACATTTTTCTAACTGCATTCGATATGATAGCTTTTTGTCTGATATATGGCTGCTGTAAGCGTTTATAAACAATGAATTTTTTTCTTATGGTTTCTTTCGCTCATGGTACGCACTCGGACATATTTAGAATGTCACTCTCTTCTTTGGTAAGAAAATATAGACCGGTATGCTCATTTCAAAATTCTTTACCATCCTAAACACTGCATTGTATATTAATGTGTAAAGTGTGACTACTTACATTTGGAAAATCCATCCTCTGCTTGGATCTCGGTCTTCTGGTTGTAGAATCCTTCAAAAAAGCCTATAACAGACGTAAACTTAATTGATCTAGGGTGCTCATCAGCATTTGTGTGAGTCAGTTCGGTACTGCGCATGACGGCGTGAGAAAAATGTCAAAGCTGCTTTGTCGAATGGCCTTCGTCCTCTTCTCAGTCTTCCTGGCTGAAGAAGCAGTTTGTGGGAGACCTGCAAACTCACCACTGATAAGCAATCACCTAGACAACAAGCCCATAAGTAACTCCAAATGTTTTGTCATAAATTATTACATAACAGTATGACTTGTTCTTGACAAGACAGCCATAGCAAACCACCTTGCAAAGATTATGACTAAGGCCTTTTTTGTGCGTTATCCACTTTTGCCTTCCTAAAATGTCGGCTAAATGAAATAAGCACGGCCAAAACTACTTTACTTTATGCGTGTGAATGCATTTTGGAA